CAGAAAGCATGGGTCTGCATTTCCCACCGCTTTCTCCTCTAGCGCTCAAATGCGCTCTTTGGCCTCTTGCCAATTCAGAAACAATTGGTGGCTCCCCAACAAGCACATTCTTTCTATAAAAGTAGCAAGCTCCTCCACGCCGCTTCTCCTAGAAGCTTCAACACGAAGGATTTTGAGTCAATTTTCATCAAACTACATTCTATTCGCAATTCAATGCTCGGGATACCAAATGTCACGGTCCGTAATACGCACCAAGACGGGACCGTTGGCGCCTTGCTTAGCACACTCTCAAATAAGCGCCAGCCAAGGATATCAATTAGTTATCTGCAAGCCAAATAATGGGCGTTGAACAAATATAATTACCAAATAATATAATCATATGGCTTTCGACTATAAGAACAATTCAAGTATCTCGAGGAACACATAACAGAACATAAGACAACATCGCACATAGGGGCAAAATGGTAATTGTTTATTTATATATCAAAATATTACATCGAGGTAAACCAAAATGTCACCTTTCATAGGCGTAGGGGCACCCTATGAAGGGCTAGGACAATGACTCTAACATCCAATGTGAATTACTCGTCCTCCCTACAAATGGGACACGAGATAACGGGAAAACATACGGATACGAAAATTTTCAAAAAGTAGGACATCCATGATGCTTAAAACACACTACACTAATTTAAGTAATATATGAATATTATCAAATAAATAAAACAACATTATAATAAATCATAAACATAAAATAAAAAATATTAAATTTCTTATTTCAATAGTTAAATTCTCAAAATTATTATCATTATTGAAAAATAAATTAATATTTTTGTGTATGCATTTTTTTTCTGTAGATCATACCATAAACAATGATTTTTTTGTCATTAACATATCTTATGAAAAGTTTCGCATGATACTTAAGAAAATATATCTTCAGAATCCATAATTATTTTAGCATATCTCAATAAGATACATTTATCATTTTAATTGTATAATTTTACTATTTTAAGAATGATATTATAAAATATTATTTCATTTTTTTATATTAGCATGCATACCGTGCGATTAATAAGAGAAAAAAAAATAATCATATTTTTAGATAATAATCATAGAGGAGGAAAAAATAAATTAATATTAATAGCAAAACAATTTTATTTGAAATAAGAAAGGTATATAAGAGAAAACGAAATTGCGATAATTTTTCTAAATTCAAATTAAGAAGGAAAATAAAAACTATAAAATAAATTTGTAGAGAAAATTTAATTTTATTTTTCTATTTATACTCAAAAAAATTAAGTAACAAAAGTTTTTTCGGAAAAAAACATAGTCCCTTCTTAATTTCTTTTTATTATTCCATTAATAAAAAAAGATACAAAAATAAATTTAAAAAAAACCTTAACAATCACGCGATACGAGAACATAGCGATTTATTGAAAATTTTTTAAAAAGGAGATCCAATACGATTAGGAACACTACATTAAATAAGTAATAATACATTAATATTTCAAATAAATAAATAATTATTATAAAAATCAATAAACATAAAATAAAAAAAATTACTCGCATTTCTTATTTCAATATAATTAGTTAAATTCTCAAAATTATTTCAATTATTGAAAAATACATTAATAGTGTGTGCATTTTCTGAATGTAGGTCATACTAGGAAGTGTCAAAAATTGGGTCAGCAAATACCGCAAATAAATGGGTTAGGGTTGATATTAAACGAGTTCGTGTCGTAAACGAACACCCATTTACGAACAGAGAATAAAAATGTGTTGTGTTGCAGATTGACCGCGGGTTAGGCGAGTGACCCATTTATTTAAGAGTAAAGAGGTAAATTTTAGTGTGTTAGATATAAATACTACTTCCAACTAAAACCTATTTAAATTTTTATTGTTTGTATTAACTTTTTTTAATTTTTAATTATAATCTTGGAGAAATTTAGCAATTTTACATGTACAAATTTATTTTATATAATTGGAGTTAAATAGGTTAAAAGTTAAAAATATTATAAGCAGTTAGTGGATTGTATGTGGGTCAACGCATCCACTTAACCTATTTATGATATTAAGCGAGTTAAGCAGGAGTTGTATATTGGTCAACATGACCCACTCTTTCTGTTTCGATATAAGTGGGTTAAACATATCGTGTTCGTATTATCCATCTAATTCATCATGTTGTGTTTTGTGTTTGAAGTTTATAAAAAATGATTTGACCCTTAAATATTGCTCCGCGCATCGCGCAGGTTTCTAATACTAGTTTATTTAAATGACAACCAAGCGTAAGTCTCTCAAATTGCCAAAGATAAAAGAATAGTTATTTAATACAATTAATAAGGATAATGTTATTTTATTATATTTTTCATATAATGCATTTATCAAACATAATATCTATCGGTTACATCATTAAGATAATATTATTAAATTAAAATTAAAATCATATTAAATATATATAACTCAAGCCGGTGCAAATTGAATTAAAATTGAGGTTAATTGATATCAAAAATCCAAACGGGTCCATCCATTGAATATAACAAATATAAAACGTGTCGTGTTAATGGATTAGCAATGCGGGTTAGGTAAGTTTACTTATTTATTTAAGGGTAGAACATAAATACTCCAACTAAAAATCCTATTTAAAAACTTTATTGTTTGTATTAATTTTTTTTAATTTAATTGTGATTTTAAAGACCTATGCATTTTATACATAAAATTTTATTGTTAAATATATTTAATTAATAGATTAAAACTTTTTAAAAATATTATAAGTATGTTAAGTGGGTCGTATATAGGTCAAGCATGATCCACTTAACCTTTTAATGATATTAGGCGGATTACACAAATCGTAATACGGGTCGATACGACCACCTTAAATTGTTTAATGATATTAGCCGGGTTACATGTGTTGTGTTCGTGTATCTGTCTTAATTTTTGTATCGTGTTCGTTATTGAGCAAATTTTGACACGATTTTAACATGAGTCAAATGTTTAGGTGTGACCCTAATCGTGTTACGTATTAGGCAAATCCGTGTCAAACCCGACAACGAACCACCCATTTTGACACTCCTACAATTTTGTTATTTTTTAAATAAATGTTATATAAAGATTATTGTCATCATTTAAATATTGTTCTGTAAATCCAACGGATTTCTAACACTAGTTTAATACTTATAAGGTAATCGGTGTAGGTATGCGCTTTTAAAATTCATTCAAATTCAAATTCTATTAAAAAAATTATAATGATGATTTTAAAATAATATATAATATTAATCTTAATCACGTTAAATAATTAAGTACTCATCCAATTCATTTTATTTAGATAAAATTTTAAAATTAGGGTGTCACATTTATTTAGATAATTTAGCTAAAATTTGATAAATAGTGAAAATATTTTTACTAACTGGTATGAAGTTCAAGGATTCAGGTATCGCGCTACCCGTGCTTATTTAATTAATATTTTAGAAAAATTGAATTTATTTTTTGAAGAAAAATTATATATATAACACATTGTTGATTGTAATTAAATTTTTAATTATATTATATTTATATTATATTCCATTTAAATCAAAATACAATTTTTACAATTTTTTACTTACTTTTTATTTTTAAAATAAATAAAAAATATTTTTAAATACTAAAAACAAGTATTTAAACTAGTTGGATTTGGGATATTAAAAGCAAATTTGTAAACAAGTTCGGGATGAGTTCGAGTATTAAAAGGATTTATAAACAAGTTCGAATGGATTTAGATACCTAATTTATAATCGGTTCAAGTTTGGGCAAGTGCATATTTAAGCGATATCCGATCGTTGGCCATCCTATTCAGAACACTATATTGTATGCTAAATTGCTTCTATTGTAGAATCCAACTGCATATTAGGGAGTGGTATCGACCTACATCATGTAAAGTGTTAAAGGCCATAGAGTTTTTGAAGATAGTGCAATTTTTAGAACTAGAGGGGAAAAAAAGGTGCATGTTGTGATCAAGCGTAAATGTGTAAATCGTGGAAGGTGAATTAAAAATGTATAGTTAATGCAATACTAGGGGCAAATTAAGAGAAAATTTTTTTATGCAAAATCACTTCTGTCCTAAAATAATGAATAAGCTGGAGTAATAAGTTTAAACATTAATTAAAATTAATACTTCAACTGTTCTTTTTAGATAAAAAAACTAACTTTTCATTCATATTAAGAAGTTAATTTAACTGTAATTTTTTATCCATTTCTTTCCTCGTTTACCCTCAACTTTCTTGTCCTTAGTTTAACTCACTTCCTCACCAACTTTCTATGCTAGGCTTCATACATAAGAGAGAAAATTTTGGTATTTAGGGATTAAAGTTTTGAATTTGGTGTTTTTAGCCATAAATTAAGGAAAGAAAATAAATAGAAAATTCCAAAAGTGATTTGAAAATAGATTTAGAGCAGTATAAAATCGAAAGTTTCGAAAACAATTAAAATAGACTTAAATTAATAAATTATATTAAATATAAGAGATTAAATAGTAATATTATTAATTAAATTTGAAGGATATATAGTCAAATATTACATGGTATCTAAAAGAAAAATTGCAGTTTTGTCAATAAAAGGTATTCTTAATTACTTATTACATCCGGCCACAAAATATCAAGAAATTCCTGTAATTTCATTAAACAATTGGGATTGAAATAGTAACTTTATCAATTTGTAGTGATTTATGATAAATTTACCTTAAAAGAAATTTCATGTAATAAAAATTAGAAAAAAAATCTCGAAGTCAGAAACTCGATGGATAGCATATGCACCCACTTAATTAAATGCAACAGAAGAACAAAAAAAAACAGAGGTACACGTGGTTGGAAGACAGCTGAAAGATGCGGATGGAGATTGAGCTCCCATTGGTCCGAAATCTATCCACGACACTTACTCAGATTTCCTCTTTAGATTTCTCATTATCCTAACTTGGCTCCTTAATACAAACCTTTTAGTATACACACTCCGGCGTTTTTTCTCTGCACAAATCAAACCCAGGCAAACCAAAACCTCTGCCAACTGTAAACAAGGATCAACTCAAGATGGCTGCTGCTACTTCTGGTGCTGTCCTTAATGGTTTGGGGTCTTCTTTTCTTTGTGAGGGAAGAGAAGCCAAGCTTTGTTGGGTACTAACAATAGAATGGTTGGCACTGGTTCAAAGGAAGTTTGTGGTTATGGCTCTTCCACCAAAGAAATCTTGGATCCCCTCTGTTAGAGGTGGTGGCAACATTAATTGATCCCTGAGTGGCTTGATGGTCGTAAGTTTCTTCTTCAATATTCTGTCATTTGCTTAAAATAAATTTTCATTAATTTTTGAATATTCCTGTAGCAATTTGCAGGCTCCCAGGCGACTATGGCTTTGACCCCATTAGGGCTAGGGAAAGATCCAGCATTTTCTGAAATGGTAACAGAGAAGCAGAGCTAATGCCACGGGTCGATGGGCCATGGCTGTGTAGTAGGAATATTCGTAGGCCAAGCCTGGAGTGGAGTCTCCATGGTTCGTAGGCCGGTGCTGACCCAGAAGCCATTAAACCTTTTCTCGTTTGGGCTTCACTGTTAGGAGACTCAACTTCTGCTAATGGGTTGGGGTATTGAAAGCAAGCGATGGGGTTGATTTCTTTAACCACAGACTCACAGTCAGTTGAATGGGCACTCCATGGTCAAGAACAGCCAAGAGAACTTGCTAAATGCGACAGCGAACAAGGATATCCAGGAGGGAAAGTTTTTTGACCCACTAGGGTTTGCAGGGACAATAACAGAATGGAGTTTACGTTCCTGATGTGGAGAAACTCGATAGATTAAAGTTGCTGAGATTAACATGCAAGACTAGGTATGGTTGCCAGTTAATTTTCTACTTTGAAGGCTGGCAAGGAAAGACTCCTCTTGGAGCTCCTCGGTTGATAAAATTACATTTAAATTATGTGTTTTAAAATGAATTGGTGTGGAATGTAATATGGGGGCAAAATTTCAGTATTTGGAACCCCAAACTATACCCCATTTTGTCAAGTGAGCTCTCATATCATTGCATTTATTTGCATCTTAAATTTATAATTTTTAAAGTTAAATTAGATAAAATTATTAATGGAAATTTAACAAAATCATTATGGGTTAGACTTTAAGTGTTACGTAAAAATAATCTAAACCATTTGGTTGGTTGATCCTTCTCATTCTAATATCAATTTACTCAAATGTACGTAATTTATCCAACGCGAGATCACACCGTACTTTAATACTATCACACATATAATCGACTGTATTCAGATGAAGACACCAGTTCATCTGTAATAATCTTCTTGACAACCCAAATTACAAAGACTCAAGCAGAGGTATTTTGAACTAACTTTAAACTTGAAGCAGGCTGCAACCACCATTTCTAAAAATCAAATCATTTTCTCCAAAATTTACCAACAATGTGGTTCACAAATTTTCTGACAACATGTTGAAAATTCCCTTACATTTTTCTCTAGAGCCATTTTTATAGAATAAATTTTCCAAAAAAAAATTAAAAAAACCAGAATTTTTATATTTTAAATAGTCCAGTTTATCTATTTTTGAAAGTTAGAAAACGGTTTTTCTTCCGATTTAAAACTAGGATTTGAAAAGAAGCTTTAACTTGTTTTATGGCAAATTTTTTATAACATATATGTTTTCCCAATCGTTTTCTTTTAAAATATGAGATTTTCATAATTAAAATTATAGTATCTATAAATAATTTTTTATAAAATATTTTCATGTCAAAAATAAAAATATTTAAATTAACATAAAAATTATATTATGCATTAATATACTTAATTTTTATTATTACAAATAGATTACAATCCTTTATTTTTAGAAATTTTACAAAATGATACAATTCATCTTATTTATTATAAATAATGCAATAAATAAAAATTCCAAATTTTTAAATAAAAATTTTCTAAAATTATTTTATTTCTTTTTATTATGAAAGATATGAATAATATTTATGAAGTTTTTAAATTAAAAATATAATTTTTTATTGTCACTAAAGGAACACATTTCTTCCATTTTCTAGTTCTGGTTTTCATTTTTAAGAAAAATTGGTTTTATGTAATTAAATACACCCTTAACTTTTAACAAAATTTTTCAAGCTTGATCAAAGTTAAAGGAGATTGAAAATAAAGCTTCATCAGAAGTAAAAATTTGAGAAAGACCTCTCGATTATATTATTATAAATCGTGTATCGGTTGATTTTACGACTATGTTAGCTGTATATCTGAAATATAAAAACAAAAAAGAAAGAGTACAGCCTTAAGTCAACCGTCAACCAATGTCAGCATGGGTTTTTGTCAGGGGTGTTTGGGCTTTTATGTGTAAGGTCCAAATGAAAAAATAAAACAGATATTGAGTATGGATGGACAAATTATGTGTGTTTTGAATAGATAAAATTGCGTGTATTTTTGCAGTTGTTAGCTTGTTAGTAAATATTTAGCTGTTAAGCTATTTGATAGCTTTTTAAAAAATATTAAAAGTTAAATATTAATATGAGTTTAATTTTTTTATAACGTTATCTTAACTTTTAAAAATTAGTTTCAAACATTGTTTTCTTGAACACTTTAAAAATAGTGTTTAACTTTTTTGACGAAAGCTACTTAAAAAAATGTTACAAGATACAGCGATCAATTCTACTAGATATCGAGATTTTGAAAACTTTAATTTAATAAATGTCACTTTGTGACATAAACAATTAAAATAATATCCGGTTTTATTAGTGATTTCTTAATTTTGTCCATTTTACCTAATGAGACTGTTTATTTTCTATTTGGATTGTTTTTTTTAGTCCCACACCGTGATGTTTCTTCTTCTTTGATCGCTTTTTTTTTTTTTTTTTCTTCTTCTTCTTCTTCTTTCTTCTTCTTCTTCTTTCAATGGTAAGGCCATAACTCTTACCTTTTCTTTTTGTTCTTCTTCTCCTCTACTTGTTAGATCTGTTCCCGCATCTTGCCTTTTTGTTATTCTAAACGATTTATTTCTGTTTATTTGAAATTTTATTTTTCTATGCGATTTCATTTTTTATAAAAATTGGATAGGTGTTATTTTTTATAAGTATTTTTTAATATAATTTCTATTAGGAATTTTTTTTTATAGTATTTATTAGTTTTTAAATTTAAACTTCCTTCAATCATATTTCATTTTCATTTTGAAGAAATTTTGCATGATTTCTTTAAAAAAGCACCCAAAAAGTGATAAAAGTTAATTGGATTGCCGACATTTAGCAAGAAGCTGCCTCAGGCCTGTGCTATCCAGTAACCCCGTGCTACTTTAGCAGAGTTCAACTAGATTTCATTGGGAAGAAAAACAAAAACCTAAAACAGTTTTCATATCTTCAAAAGATTTTTTCTTCCAATAGAGATTCACTTTTCTAAATGAATATGAAGTATTCCAAACAGTCTATATAAAGAGAGAGACTAGCCATACTATTATTCACTGTATATTAATTTTTTATTCTATTGTTCTCGACACTCGACATAAATTTTCTCCTCTCTTTAAATTTCAAGTATTCAATTTGGTGTCAATAATTTTAAGAAAGCCGCTCAACCATCGTTGATTAGTTTTTATTTCTTTATTATTCATTATGGGATTATTTATTAGTTTAATTGAGTTTAATTTATTTATTATGTCGAACTAAATTTTTTTATTAGGATATGATGTAACTTAAATTCAAACTCCAATTTATAAATATTAGATTTTATTTTCTTTATTCAAGATAAATTTATTATTAATCTTAAAGTTTCCAAGTAGAGTTTCTCTCATGGATTGATTTATTTCAATTAATCACTGTTGGAGAGAATGGTTTCTTGATATGAACAAGGTATATATGGGAATACAATTTGAATGCGAGTGTTTTAGATAATTTGATTCGTGACAGTTTTCATAAAATTAAAAGCCTTAATTTGTGGATTTCTGAATAATTATAGAAATTAATGATTTAACTATATTTGGTTGAACTATTGAGAGATGGTAATTGAAATTTAGGATAAATAGATAATAAAATGTCGAAGAGACTTAATTAGCGATTTTATATTTTATTTCTCATTCTTGAATAATTAAAAATGAGTACAAACTAATATGGATAATTGGATAAATTAAAGTGAAGTCAAAATCCCCTAGTAACTTTTAAACCTTCGTTTTTTCAACAATTAACTTGCTTGGTCTCTTCTTATTGTTTTACTTTAATTCTTCTATTTTTACAATCATCATTCTGATTATCTGTTTTAAATAACAGTAGATTAACAACAAATTCCTGGTATTTTGGTATACAAATTTTCATGGGAGCGATATTCTACTTAGTTTTTATTAATTTGTTTGCGATTTCAATGCACTTATGAAATTGTCTTTCATATAAGCCATTATCAACATTTAATACTTGTCAAAAAATTGTTTACCGCGCTCGCATCGCCGTTGATGTTGTTTTATGTTTTGAAGAGACAGAATAAGATTCTTTGATTCTATTTGATATATTAATATATATATATATATATATATATATATATATATATATAATATATATAATATATTTTATATATTTATCTATCGTTGTTGTTACTGTCGCCAATTACCGATCTTAGTTGTCATCGTCGTTGTTGAATCACGTAAAATAGTTTTGAAGATTAAGCTGTTTTTTTTTTTTTTTACCATATTGACATTTCTCTTAATTTTTTATTTTTACTTTTTTTAATATTTTATTACTTATAAATATTATTTTCTGACATTTGTTAAGTTAAACCGTGAATAAAATAACCAAGTGTTGAGCAAGCCCAATATTCGGTTTCACCGCCCCTTCAAGATGGTGGTTGATAGTTGACCCATGACGGGAAAAATTCGAAAAAGCTAAAAAGGGTAGCGATAACTATACTTAGACAACTTGGGACATTTGCTAAGTTTCCTATAAAATAACCCATGCTTAGAGAAAGGGTTCCGTTTTCGAGTTCTATTTCCAATTCCTTCCAACGCTAAAGTCTAAGGGTTTCCCTAGTCAATGCTAATTTGACCATAAATTTGATTATAATTTTTTTTCATTCGATATTATATACAATGGATCTGCAACTCCTCATTAGAGGCAATGAGTCCCATTAAGGGAGGAAGTTAAATTGAAATTAAATGTTACAATATCAAACATTGAATTTGGGACAACCCTACCACCAAGGTAGGGGATCATTTGCCTAAATTTGATTATAATTGGACCTATTCAACTTTATTTAGTATGATAATCTAACTATATTAATGATTTTATCTACACAACAACACACTCACACCATATATATAATATATTTAGTACTTATAATTGTAAAATCATAATTTTACTATAGCATTTCCTAATTATCTTAGCACTAATAATATATGTAATAGTAATAATAATTTTGAGATTAACTATTGAAATAAGAAATTAAATTTTTATTATTTTTATGTTTATGATTTATTATAAATGATTGTTTATTTATTTGAAAATATTAATGTATTGACTTATTTAGTGTAGTGTGTCCCTTGCTCCCTCGGTATATGAGACTACTCCTTACATAAGCTTATCAACCAAAGGTTTTTTTTTTTTTTACACTACCCAATAAAAATAATTTTTTTTAATTTGCCGCCTTTTGTGTCATTGAATAAGAAATTAAAGTATTTTTTTATTTTATGTTTATGATTTATTATTGATTGTTTATTTATTTAAAAATTAATGTATTATTTTATTTGTGTAATTATAGTCCTAAACGTAAGGATGTCCCTAACTTTTTTAAAAAATTGTCGTATCGCGTACATTTCTGTATCTGGTTGTTCTATGTCCATGTACCTAACCTCTTGGTAGATCTACTCCTTACACCAAGCTAATCAACCAAGGTTTTTTTTAATTACCAATAAAAATAAAGTGTTTTTTTAATTTGCTTTTTTGTCATTGAAATAATAAATTAAGTATTTTTTATTTTATGTTCATATTTATTATAAATGATTGTTCATTTATTTGAAATATTAATGTATTACTTATTTAGTGTACTATGTCTAAGCGTATGGATGTCGTACCTTTTTTAAAAATTCGCGTATCCAGTTTCCATGCAACATAACTTCTAGTATATGACTTCTAGTATATAAGACTACTCTATATACCAAGCTAATCAACCAAGGTTTTTTTAGTACCAATAAAAAATAAAGTATTTTTTAATTTATTTTTGTGTTGTTGAAATAAGAAATTAAGTTTTTTTTTTAATTTTGTATTTATAATTTATCATAAATGATTGTTTATTTATTTCAAATATTAATGTATTATTTATTTAGTGTAGTGTATCTTAAAAATTATGGTATCCAATAGGTTTCGTATCTCATGTCTCGTTTTTGTGCAACTCAACTCCTGGTATATGAGACTACTCTATATGCCAAGGTAATCAACAAATGTTTTTTATTACCAATAAAAAAATGAAGTATTTTTAAATATTCTTTGTGGCAATGAAATAAGAAATTAAGTTTTTTTATTTATTTTATGTTTATAATTTATTATACATTGTTTTTTTTATTTATTTAAAATATTAATGTATTACTTATTTACTGTAGTATGTCATATAAGCGTGTAGATGTTCTACTTTTTCAAAAATTATCGTATCATGTACGTTTCAATTTATATTTTTTAAATTGCTTATATATTATTTAATAGTAATATATTGTTTAAATTGCGTGTGGATTACTTATTAATTATTTTGTAAGAAAAAATAAATTTATATTAAATTAAATGCTAGTGATAATCTTTTTTTTTCTAGATATTATCTTAATAGAGGGATTATCTAAAAATATAAAATAACGATCTTTTTACAATTCTTGTAATTGTGCTAAATGTGTGCCAATTACAACATCCGTCGTTCAATAATCCAAAATAATGACAAGTGGCAAACTGTGCTACTTACACTTGGCTTCCATATAAAACAAATTACCCTGCTTTTATATATTATATAGAAGATTTCCTCTTGTTGCCACGTTAGATTATGTAGGAGTGAGCATTTGGTTCGGTCAATTCGCCAATTCGATTCGGTGAATAAATGTTAAGTTAAAATTTTGGTTAAAGAAAATTAGATTTTCGATTAAAAAGTTAATTTAACTAAATTAATTAAATTAGCCGACTCTCAAAAACTACGTCCTTTTAATTGATTAAGTGGATAATAAAATTAAAAATATTTTAATCTTTATTTTGATTAAGTAGTGATTAATCATTTTGGTTAATTTTTATTTGGGTTAAAGATGGTTAATTACATATTTCAATCGATTAATTAAGTTTTTATTTTCTTTAACTTCAATGCAATTAATGATTAAAATTAATTCGTCCAAAATGATTAGGTTAAAAGCTTAGTTTGATTAAATTCGGTTAAATAAAAAATTTTCCTTTAAATATATGCTTGTTAAATCTTGAAATAAATGTAATAGCATAATTAGGCTTTTCTTAGCTCGTTTCAATATAAATATAACTGTGAAAACACCAACTGGATAGCCCAGCTTAACAGCCTGACACAAAAGATTGTACTTCTAATTGATGCGGGGAAAATAATTATTTTATCCTAACATTTGACCAAATTATTAATTCGTTTTTACAGTTTGACAATATTAATTAATGTTTTCTGAGATTTACTTTCGTTAGAATACTTAATCCTATCGTCCATTTTTTTTTACTTTCTTCCAAACTAATTATAAAATATTATTTTTAAATAGCATTCAAATTTCAATTATATTGAAAAAAAGCTTCTAATTTCTTCAATAATCTCCAAAATATTAATTAAGCATTATAATTGTTAACTTGGACAGAAGCACACTCTGTGAAACAACCCAAATTTATATTTTCAAAAGATTTTCTAATTAAATCTAATGTACCGACAGCTTGGAAATTAATATTAATATTTTAGTGTGAATACTGTGAGAAACCGAACCAAAAACCGATTGAAAAAGCCGAAAACCAGTCATAAAATTGAAGATTTGGGTCGAACCGAACCGGATCGAACCGGTTCGACCCAAACCATCTAGAAAGCTCTTCTCCCTCTATATCCAGCACACGCCTCACCTCTCCTCACTCACTCCCTACGCCTCCGACGCATCCGACCACACCAAGCAACACCACATAGCGCGACCACTCTTCTTCTTCTTCTTCTTCTTCTTTTCTTCTTCTTCTTCTTCCTTTTTCCCTTCCCTCTTTCCCTTCTTCCTCACTGCGCCTGTGTCCCTGGTGAGACAGCAGCAGCTCACGCCTCCCACATCGCGTGCCACTGCCAGCAGCTCCGCCCTCTGCCAGATCGCGCAGCGCACGGCAGGCCAGATCGCGCAGCGCACGGCAGCAGCACAACCTTCACTTGGTCGCGCCACCACCGTGCCTACTGCTCCGCTTCTCTCCACGCCGCCAGCCCCATTTCCGGTTAGTCGCATTCCGGCAACACTATAAAATTGGGTAAAATTTTAAGATTTGTGAATGAAATTAGCTAATTTATTTAGTTAAGTTAGTTTTAGTGAATAAAAGTAATGGTTTGTAGTTAATTCAGTTAGTCAAGTTAGTGTTAGTGTTAGTAATTAGTGTTAGTAATTAATTAGTTAAGTTAGTTGTAGTTAATTGTTTGTAGCTAGTTTAATTAATTAAGCTAGTGTTAGTAATATTAGTCAATTAATTAATTTTATTATTTGAAGTTAATTAATTTAGTAAAATTAGATAATGAAATTAATGTTATTATCATTGTAATTAATTAATCTAGCTAAAGTTAATGTAGTTAATTAAATTTAATCTATTACTTTGTAAGTTATTTAAGTTAGTTAATTTATTTAGTAATTGTGAATAGTTAATAGAGTTTAATAATTTAGTGTTGAATTTAAATTAGGTAGTTTAGAAACATTTATAAATTTATGTTGATATGGAAAATATGGAGGATGGGAGAAATTGACTTGATTGATTGCCCGATGGATAGGCTGTGTGGTTTGAAATATTTGATGAACTGTTGATATCTTAACAGGTGGATAGTCCAATTTTTAGGGGAGATGCTGCGGAAATTTCAGTAGAAAAATAAAATAAATTTCGGTAGAAAGTAAAATAGAGTTCGATAGAAAAATAAAAATTGAAATTAATATCGAGAGTAGATTACGTAGAAAAATTTAGAATGAGAAGACCCAGATATATATGCATATATAACAAGTGAATTAAATAAATATTTATCTGATATATTCTTTTTTTTTTTTTTTCCCGAGTCATTCTTACTTTGCTTAGAATCGCCCGGGTCCATCTAGTGCTCCTGCCAGGACAGAATCAAGTTAGGACCTCGCTCTCGACCACTGTTGTTGGGTGTGGAGTAATAATAAATAATGCATATCAACATGCATTTAATATATGCATTTTTCTTTACAAACCTATATTCTAAAATATATGTATTGATTATTAAAGCTCATATTTATTTATGATGCAATAATTGTATATTGGATGTATTTGATGTGGTACGTTGAAAGAATTGTTTGAATAAATTGTGGTTGTGCAATAATATTGTGATTTGTTTATGTGGAATTGGGATGAAGTGAGTCACATGGTTTGTGAGAAATGGTATATGTGAAATATGATCCTGAATATGATATGAAATTTGGCCCGCGTAAAATGGAAGATCGGCGCCCCCGTGTGCACACTGACTGCTTATGATCTGTGTGATATGAAAACCACAGTTGGTTTCTTTATTGGGGCGCCACAGCTGATAATGCTATATCTGATCGCAGCCCGCAGGGTGCCTCCCTCCTGTTGTGAGCGCCTGATGATGCTAGGATTTTGATGGGAACGCCCGGGTTACCTATCCTGTTTGGTAACAGGAAAAAGAAAAGAGATAGTGGAAAAAAACAATGAGAGGGCTGGGTCATGAGGATTAAGACCTGGTCCGCCAGTATGGGTGGATCGGACTTTCCCTGGTGCACATGTGAGAGGATGGCCATAGTGGGAGGACGGCCCATAAGGTTGATTCGGTGACTCATCACGTGCGCGAAGAGATCCTCACATAGAGACGCATTATCGATAGTATATAGATATGCAGGATTGTTTGTGGGTGCTGATGTTATGCCATAGAAGTTGGATGTGGTGTGTAATCATTTAGTATATAGGGTGCATTTTCCTGTGACTGTATGTGGTGTGTATTATTTTATATTATTCACTGAGTTGCAAAACCCCCTTCTCTCCAAACTTCTCAGGTATTAGGAAGTTGCCGATCCAACGGAAGCTCTACAATCTTCTCCGTAGAGTTATAAATGTAAACTTTATATTTCTGTTATTTAAATTTGGATGTAGTAATTATTCTATTATTTGATTATTATTGAACTCCGCAGTTATAGGATTGTGTATTTTAATTAGGCTTGCCGTATGCGTTCTTTTGGAATGACATGTTATATATTAGACGTAGGCATTTTAGTATACCCATATTCTGAATATGACTTATCATGATTAGGCCCAAATTAAACTTCAATTGAGATATTTAAATTTTGGGCCAGATTGTATAATAATTATATTTAAACCCTACTGGTATGGGCTTACTGTTATTATTCATTGGTGTGACTGGTGTTAGTAGAGTAGTTTAGGCTTACGACGGGCCTCGGGGCCTTAAGCTTACCGGGGCCTTAAGCTTACCGGGGCCCTAGTGCCGGTCCGGCCTATAGTATCGGGTCGTGACAACAGGTCTCCTTGATTATGTCGGCGGACAGCCAAAGCGTCCTCCCTGTTACCGCAAACCATCCCTAATCCTTTTGGGGGTGGCCCATGAGTATGCGTACTGTCGGACCCTTAAAAGGTTCAAGAGAATATGAATATTTCTATTATGTAAAAAACATTTGGATATTTGGATTACAAGGATAAAGAATATTATATATATATATATAATATATATATATAATATTCTTTTTATCTTGTATCCAAATCATGATATATAACAAGAGGAAGTGTTTTCATTATATTTTTTTCTATCTCATTCCTCACAAGTTGACCAATATTAACACATATATTTATGTGCAAAGCAATGGGCTAGCCAAATTATATATATATTCTTTTATCCTTGTAATCCAAATCAAATGATATATAACAAGAGAAAAGTGTTTTCATTATATTTTTTTCTATCCATCCTCACAGTTGACAATATTACACATATATTTATGTGCAAGCATGGGCTAGCCAATTATCCAAGTACACGTGTAGATGTCACCACTGCCACCTATCATGTCGTACAAATGATAATATCTTCACTCACAGGTGGGTGGAGGTTTCGTATGCACCAACTCTTCTATTTTTGCCTTTTTTTTTTGTTTTTTTTTACTATTCGATTATATAATGAATTTTCTATATTTTACATTATCAGCTGCAGTTATAATAATTTGAAAGCCTATCAAGAAACTAAAGGGAAGAAATACAAATTAATATTAAATGTTACATTGTGAAAAATCCAACATGGGACCTCTTGGTCTCAACTCTTCTAAATCTCCATGTAAGAAGTATTCTTTACATCCATACGAGAAACAGACTATTTTAGTATAGAAGTAATAACTAGAAGTGTACTCTGGAATTGTCATCTTAGTGGGGGGCGGAGCTAGAATCTGAAATTAGAAGGGGCCAAAAGAAAATTTTCAAAATTAAAGGGTTCCAAATCAAAGAACAAATAATTTTTTAGCACTGTTTATGAGTAAATTTTTAAATTTTGTTTTGAGTTTGAGGGTCTGGACTCTTCCAATCTCCCTCCTCCGACCCTTATCTTAGTAGTAGGAGCAAATGCTTATTCTTAATTAATGCTATATATACTTTTGTTCATAGCCTTGAGCCACCAAACAAACTTTACATCTTTTAAGAAATATATCCATCGGCTTTGATCTTAATAGAAAAGATCCATCTACTACCAATAATGGATGCACAAGATGAACGTGGAACAATATCCCTTTTATGATTTTCCTTCAAGTGCCTCAAGTTTATCACCCATAGCCTTTTTCCTACATTAATCATGGCTACCTGTGTGTACAATATAAGAGTTAGGTACAAAAATCAAATTCAAAGTAGTACGCAAGACATATGAGTTACCATAAGTACCAGGATGATAACCATATGATCTAGGACCTATGCATGATGGGAGCACAATCAAATAGGTTCGAGTGGTTGAGACATCAAAATTGGGATTGATCGCAAAAGGTATATCAGTTGACGATAAGTTGATGCCATGTTTTAATGTTCATCAATGTCAGAATAGAAAAGAAGATTGAAAAGGAATACATTTTATTAAAAACAAAAAATTATTTAAATATAATAAAAAATAAATGAAGATAAGGATTATATGTTATCCATAATTCTAGCCATGATAAGAACAAACATTAATAATTGATATCCTAAACAGCAGTTACAAAATAAAAATAAAACCTCTAATAAAAACATCTTAAATTAAAAAATGCAGTTGTATTTTGCAATGTCTAGGACAGTTTCTAACACTCTTTCTTGTCTTTGATACTGCAAACTCTCATCTTATCTCTCAAAGCTTCAACTTTAACTTTAGACAAAAGCTTTGGTAGAAGCATTAATAACTTGATCTTTAGTTTCCCAGTACAGTAAGGGCACTTCTTCTTTTTGAATCTCTCAAAATATAGAACTTTATTTTAAAATGCTTAATTTGTCTTCCCGTGAAGCTAAACCAAAAACAAACTTAGCAACTCAGAATACGCTCAAACAAGCAAAACATAAACAAAGCAAAACAAGCAAACTTAGCAGTGAACCAATAACAGATCCCGCCATAACTGAAGTAGAGGCAACTATTCACACCAAAGGTTGCAGAGAAGGAAAAAGGTTTGCGAAAAAGTCATTTGCACGAGAGACACCCTATTTTGCTAGACAGTTAGCAAACGCATTTTCAGATCGGAGAATATGCAGAAATCCACCTTAACAAACTTGGAAGACAGAGCCCAGATGTCGTGAATCTCATCCCAAAGAGTCCAAGGAGTGGCAGAAACATAATGACCCAAGAATAGCATTGGAGGAGTTTGACTCGATGATTATAGTAGAATTACACCAACCTTCCATATAGAAGAAATTGAGGGCTATCAAAATTGCTAAAACCTCTGTAGCATTGGAATCTTTCACACCAGTTGAGCATGAAAAAACCATATGGACATCTCCTAAATGGTCCTCTTCGTTACTTTCTTTTGCACTGGATCTTCTCACCACGCCATCTCTTCATCGATGAACACAAGATTAGCCATCTTCCACTCTCTGGTCTCCTCCTTCCTAAAACCCCTCAACACTTAACCCTTTAAATTTTCGTTTTCAGCTTTAAATGCTTTTGCCCCGGTCACCTCCTTGAAACCCACAACCACTGAAATGATTCCGCCGCGCTGATATCACCGGAAACATCATGATTAAACCCCAGAACTTCAAACACGCTCATAAATTAGGACTAGATAAAACACGAAAAGCAGAAATGAAGGGGGCAGGTATGTGAAATTCGAACAAATTTGTGCCAGGTGTTATTGATGTTGGAGCACCATTATTGTCTGTTCTTAAAAATAGTTGTCCTGTCCAAAAACTATCACCTTCCCCCTTTCTCGCTCAGGCAAGTTCTCTATCTCTCTCTCTCTCTCTCTCTCTCTCTCTCTCTTCGATTTTCGATCTTCGCTTTCTTTTTGTTTGGTTGCTGTGAAGTTATTTTGCATAAATAAAGTTAATAGCTTGCAGTTTATTTCGTATTTCAATAGGGGGCTTTTGTTAGCTATTGTTTAGATTCAAAGTTTACAATCGACCTTTTCTGTTATTTCTCTCCCAGCTACTAAATAGAGAGCTTTCTGGATTTTGCACTTTTCTTCGATTTTTGGCTTTGTACTTTCTTCTTTTGGTTTTTCAGTTGTTCTATGTTTTTAATGTTTTATTGGGTTTAGATTGTTTGGTTCTTAATTTAACTTCTGTAGTTGTTCTTGAATTTATTTTTGTTTTTAACCAATTTATATGTTTTTAGAGAGTAAATACTGGTCCTGCAAAAATAGATTTGGCTTGAGTTTTTAAATTTAAATGTTGATATTGATTTGAAATTGAATGGGCATTGTAATTTATTGTTTTTATGAATTAGGATCAAGAAAATTTTGAGAGTTGTTGCAGAGTAGCGTTTTTGTCTAGGAAGCGTATAGAGAACGAGAATTGAAAGATGGTGGTATAATATCCATGTCAGCAAAAAAAAAAAAAAAATCATTTTGGCACAATATCCACGTTCTATTTGTATTTTAGGCTTATCATGTAAGTCCGAGATATTTGATTGAAAATTTTTTTGGAAATTTAAATATTTAATTGCAAATATTTTCTGTTGAAATATCGAAATAGAAAATTTTCAAAAATAGAGACACTAAATTTATAATTAATCCATTTATAAAAGTATATTCTTAAAATCTTAATAAGTGCCCAAAAAGAAAATCAAGTCACTACTCAATTTCCAACGCTTCCCTCAATCCAAATCAATATCTATATATAGCTATAATACAAAATTATTTTTTATTGCTAGGTAAGAAAAATGAGAAGATCTAAATTGATAATGATAATTACTTCTGACAATATTATGTATTTAATGCATTACAAAAATGAATATATGCATATACACGTAAATTTTTTAAACCCTAAAAGTGACCTAAAACAGAAATATGTAGTTCTAGTTTTTCTGTTTTTATAAATGCCATTTTCTTTCAAGTCAAATAAATGTAGAATATAATAGAAAAAATATCAAGAAAATTAATGTTTAATCATCAAGAGACCATCTATTTATTGCAAGGGAGATAAAATTTCTTAATAGTGTTACAAATTATAAAAAAAAAAGAAAATAAAAAATTATTATTAACAAGAAAAATTAATGTTTAAATCAAAATCAAGAGACCATCTATTTATTGCAAGGGAGATAAAATCTTAATAGTGTTTACAAATCATCAAGAGACCATCTATTTATTGCAAGGGAGATAAAATTTCTTAATAGTGTTACAAATTATAAAAAAAAAAGAAAATAAAAAATTATTATTAAGAATAGAACTTCTTTGAGAATTCAATATATAGAAAGAAACAAATTATATTTAAAAAATTACTAATTTGAATTTTAAAAATCAACCCCTTTTTTAAAAAGGACTAGCCAAGTCAATAAATGGAATTAAAGCAAATAATCCCAGAATCTAATTTTGTTTTTCTATTTTTCTAAATTGTAAATTTAAAATAAATAAATTATTTAATCAAGGGCATTCAAATAAAAAATGCTAATTGATTTATTATTCGTTCAATCTTAATATGAAAATTAATGTTAAAGCTGAAAAATTTCTCTAAATTTGCAAGTTCTCACTGAGAAAATAAGTTGTATAATCAAAAGTTATAGCATTATGCTTCAAATGCAGAAAATCATATATAAGATGAAGAACGAGCTTCTTATAGAACAAGAATAATGTAGGATTTTATTTTGTTCACCTTCTTTCAAAATCATTTAAAAAAATCTTTATACATTAATATTCTACAAATAATAAAATTAAAGAAAAAATTTTCTCAAATCGAAGAAAAACGATCCTAATTCAAAAACACAATCACAAAATAATTCAAGAGATGGAAATATCAGAAAAATTAAGAAAATAGAAATAAAAGAAACACAAATTGATGAAAATAATAAACTGCAGCTGGGATTAACCCATCTTGCTTGTCTTTCCTATTTTATCAATTGACTAGGATTTGCACACAAATGCCCTTATATGAGTTCTTCTCCATCTCGATTTGGCGTTGTATGAATCTTTGACCATCTAGATTCAATAAGAATAGCTAAGAGAAAGAGAGGAACAAGAGAGAGACACAAAGCGAGAGGAAGAGAGAAAGAGAATCGCAAAAAAGATAACAGAAAGAGACAAGAGAAAAATATGAAGGAAAATGAAAAATGAAAAGCTGTCGTTTAATGTGTGTGTATACACGCTCTTTTAGTTATTCTAGGATTATTCCGTAAAACGTGTAAAGTTATCGATTTTTATATCTTAAGTGGCGTAATAAGTTATTCGCAAATTTCAAAATATTATAGAATTTTTTAAAAAAATTTAGGAGTATATTTATATATTTATCGCTGTAGAGGAGTGTGATGACTTGTTTGTACTAAGCAACGTTAAACTGTTTGACCTTCTTTATTTCTTATTAGTAAATTTAAGTTGACTAACGCAGAGTTTAAAAGAGTTTTAACGGAACAACTCATTAGTGTAATGGAATAATAATATAAGAAGTATACAATTAAATTTTCAAAGCCGGATCTAACTTATGCAATTCATTATAATTCAGGGACTAAATAATGAATGTAGCAGATAACAGTGGAGCCCGAGAATTGATATGTATTCGAATCATGGGGACTAATTTTTTAAAATTACTCTTTAGTTTGGATAATTTTTAATTTTTTTCTATTTAAATAAATTTTTAAAAACTCAAAATAAAATTATTTATCTTATTTCAATTTTACTTTTATCTAAATATTTGCATTGAAATTTATTTTAATAAAATAAACATTACTTAAAGCTAATTTAGTCAATTATCTTTATTTTATTCTAAAATTAAAGCGATTTAATAATTTTTTTAATTCTTGTTAAAAAAAATAAAAAATAGTAAACATTTAACGGAATGAGACATGGTTATGGCCACAATTTAAAAATTGGACTTGAGTGAACATAATTGAAAAGATAAGGAGTAAATCGAATTTTGAACCTTTTTCTCAAAACTGTACCCGAGTCATACTCCTTGGGGACCCCAACCAAAGTCCAATCCATTTCTCCATTTCTTGTCCAAACGGTCAGTCATCGTCAAACCCACCAACGTTTCGGCGTTTCCGATAATGGACAATTACTCTCCTTCCTCTTCCTCCACCTCCTCCTCCACTGCTCATCCTACTTCCAACGCCACCACCTCCTCAAACACCACCACTACCACTACCACTACCGACCCAATGCAGTCCTGGTGGGAAGCCATTTCCAAAGCTCGTGCTCGGATCCTCTCTCTTTCTTCCCTCCTCCCTTCCGATCCTTCGTCTTCTTTCTCTCTTTCTTCTCTCGCCGACTCCGACCGCCCAGCAATTTCTTTCCTTTCCTCTGCAGACGCGTATTCTCTCTTCTCTTCTGCTCTCTATTCTCCTTCCTCTGGTTCTGGTTCTGATCCTCTGTGCGAATGGCTTTACGAAACCTACCTCTCCTCTGATCCTCAGCTCCGCCTAATTGTTCTTTCTTTTATTCCTCTTCTGTTAGGATTATATCTCTCTCGGATCCACTCATCGGATTCTACTTCCGCTCCTTCTCTTGCAGGTTTCGAGGCTGTTCTTCTCGCCATTTACTCTTCCGAGGTGAAATCACGGGCTGGAAAACCGGTTCTCATCCAGATTCCTGATCTTTCACAGCCGTCGCTTTACCATATACCTCAAAACAAACAGAATCCACATGGACTTGATCATTCTCGGCCGTCTATTGGGGTTTTGTCGCAGCCTCTAGAACCACATAGTGCGGTGAAGTCTACAAAGCGGCCGGTTATTGTTGGTGTTGTACTTGATTGTTATTTCAAGCAGATCTCGCAAATGCCGAGTTGGTCTAAGGTAGAATTGTGTAAATATGCAAGTGAGTGGGCTGGACAAGATTGTGCTTGTAAAAATAGATTTGATGGTGACACAGAAATTAAAATTGAAAATGGAAATGAAAATGGGTATTTCTTGGAGGATATGAATAGGAACTTTAGGGATGATTATAATAATCATAATGGTCATGGGCATGAGAGTGATGATGTTGTAGTGGAAATGGAGAAGTTGAGATTGGAAAAAAATGGCAAAGAGGATTTAGAGACAAAAGGGGTGAGGATTCCTTTACCTTTGGAGATTTTGCAGCCATTGTTGAGAATTTTGGGACATTGTTTATTGGGGCCGTTGAATTCACAAGATGTTAAGGATGCAGCTTCTGTAGCAGTTAGACGTTTGTATGCAAGGGGGTCTCATGATTTGGCTCCACAAGCAATACTAGCCACACGAAGTCTTATTAAGCTTGATAAGAGAGGCCGGGAGGAAGTAAAGGCTGCTGCTGCCAATGCTTCTTCCAATGCTAACACCCCCAGTAAAGCCAAGAAACCGGAAATTCTTTTGGTTTCAAAGTGAGGGATTTTGCAGACAGGGACAGGGATTTGCTTTGGAGGTAATGGATATTCTTTGGCCAATCTTTATTAGTTGTAAGTTTGTGCTGTATCAAATGTGCAATTGAATGCCCATATTAATGCATGCTTGCCTATACTTGTACTCCAGTTATTGTTATGTTAGCCTTTGGAATTTATTGGGTATTCTTATTTATAGGATTTGATTGTTCTTTTGAGCTAGTACTAGACTATATAATGAGAGCTACACATTGTTATTTGAACATAATCGTCTTTCATTTTATGATCGTAGGATTGTTTTACTAAATGTAAATTTATGTTGCTGGCATTCCATTGGAAGAGTATGGAATATAGATATTAGACATAATCTTGCCTAAAGTGGATTCTGCGAACAGTCTACTACTGTTTGCCATGTATTGGCCTTTCCCATGATTCTGAGTTTTGTATTTGTTGTTGGCTTTGATGAACTGAAAAGAAGAGGAAATATATTTTCTTCTCTAATAGGACTCTTTATGCCTGTAAAACTAGAAAATCATATACTTGTAAACAAAATATTACTAATGTATGTAGATAGATAATATTCATAGTAGACCATTGCTACTACGTATCACTGATACGATATCAAATAGAGATTCCACCTTCTCTATGCTAAAGCTAGTGACTAGAATGCTGATGTAGCAGCCTTAGACTTAACATTCTGTTCTTGATTTTAAACTTCTCTTTTCAAGTCCCTGTATAAATAACATAACTAAACTGACATGTAAAATCTTTTATGGAAATGCTATTTTTGGGGCTGGTTTCTTACTCTGTGGAAGATATATTGGTTTAGTTATTAAACAAATCCACTCTATGAAGAGATACAAATAATCAGGTGCTGCAATTTTTATATTGATCAATAGTAGATAATAGACTTACAACTGTTTAAGACTTTCTCTAAGAGCAATCATCTGTATTATCCCACATTGATTTGGTGTCTAGTATTCGAAATATAAGACTTGGAGAATCCTCCTCCCCATGAACAAGCGTTTGGGGAGTGAGTTCGGCATGGTCCATTTTATAATATGGTATTAAGACCCTACTCTGCCTCAATGTTGGGCCACCTTGCAAACTTTCACGCTCAAGATGTTCATGCTTGGGCAAGAGTAGGGCAATCCTCCTTTCCTTGAGCTAGCTATTAGGAAGTCTGCTTAGTGAAAGACTCTGCTGTTCATAGCTGACTGCTGAGTTCTTTTCAGACGCTCTTTGCTGGATTGATATAGGAAGAAAGAAAACTTTCATATGTGAATTCTAAAATCCAAGTTGTATAAATTTCCTTTTGGATAGCTAGTCATGTTGATCTTTTTGTAATTTTTCACTGGGAACACAAATTTCAAGTGCTTAATCATTTCAAAAGACTAGCAGTGCAAGTTCCCTTAAATTTCCTATATTCTTCAGATTGATATTTAGGTAAAATGAATTGAAAATGGGGAAAAACAAAATTATATGTTAGCTGCTTGGTGTTTGCTCGTTAGTATTCTTAATACTGCAGAAAATTCTAGTTTCAAACTTCAAATGTGAAGAAAAATTTCTCTAAGGATGATTGAGGTTTAGTGAAGTCATACTTGCCTCTAGATTATGTTTTTGCAAGTACTTTACATGTTGAGTGGGATTATTTAAGTGTTACTTAAAGAAAATTGAATGGATATACTTGCCTTTATCTAATTTAATGAATTAAGTCAATGGTTTGATGCTTTTTGTGTTTGACATTTTTGGCACAGCCATTTGCAAATCAATATACATTTGAACGTTAGATTTAAGATATAAATCCTTGCATTTCCTTTCTCGAAACAGAAATGCAAGGGAAGCTTGCTTGTCTTGTATAGGTTCCGAGTCAATTCGACCATGACTGAGCAGGAGCAAAACAAAAGAAACAATAATAGAGTCTAAAACTAATGCCGTTGGAATATTTTTAGAGAGACCAAAATTAAAAAGATTGAAACGATCGCCATATTTTTTTTTCCTACAAATTTTAAGAAGACATTTCCTTTTCTACCCTTATTCACATAATGAATTAGCTTCAAACTTACAGATGTAACTAAATGCAACTGCATGCAAAATGTGAATTTATTTTAGGGTAAAATGGAAAAAAAAAACTTTAAATGCATACTAGAAATAAAAGTGGACAATTATTTTGGAACATATCAAAATAGAACAGAGTATAATTTTTATGGGACGGAGGGAACGTCGCTTCATTTTTATATACTGGGCCTAGTAGTTGGCTTTTTTCGCCGGTTTTCTCTAAAACCAAAATTTTCCGGCGATATTTTATAAGAGATGAACAGCTATGGGTTGAATTAACATGGAGTAAGAGGTTTTATGGGCGTTCTCGTAAGACTAAAAAAATAATACAATAATAAAAAAATAAAATATACGGTAGCGTTATAAAGCTGAATAGAGGATACTTTTTTTTTTTTTAGATTAAAAAAAAAGGCTGTATAGAGAAAATTCAGAAGCGTCACCCGCTTTTATTTTTCAGCTCAAAATAGGGGTTAATATTTGGTTCGGTTAAAAAAAATTAAATTTCCAGTACTCGGCTAAAAAGTAATTACTTTTTAACCAAATTAATTGATTCTCAAAATTACATCGTTTTAATTAAATAGATAATAAAATTAAAAATTAAGAATATTTTAATTTTTATTTTGATTAAGTAGTGATTAGTAATTTTAATTAATTTTTATTTCGGTTAAAGTCAGTTAATTATAAATTTTGGTTAAATTCGTTCGATTAATCAATTTTTCATTTTCTTTAACTTCGGTTCGGTTAATGATCAAAATTAATTCAGCCAAAATGATTCCATTAGATTCGATTCAAAAATTAGTTTGGTTAAATTCGATTAAGTTGAAAAAATTTCGGTTGAAAAATTTAATAAAATAAACCGAATTGGCCAAAAAATGTTCACCCCAACTCAAAACACGAGCAAATTGACCCTATTTACACAAGTTATGTAGGAAATTAGCCAAAAAAATTAATATTTGAGGGATTAAATATTTTTGGATCCCTAAATTGTGATCAAATTAACACTTAGGTCCTTAAACAATTGAGTAGTTATTCTAAAGGACCTAAATAATGTTGTCGTTGCAATGTGAGGCCTTTCCATCCAAATTCCTACCTTTTTCCATTTATATGGGCTGAAAAGCAAATATTAAGTGGAAGATTAAATATTTTTAAGTCCATAAATTATAATCAAATTAACACTTAGATCCCTAAATGTTGAGTAATTATTCACTTTTTAATCTATATAAACGGAAAAAAAGTAAGAATTTGGATGGAAGGACTTCACAGTACAACAACAACATTATTTAGGTGCTTCAAAATAATTACTCAAATATTAAGGGACATAAGTATTAATTTGATCATAATTTAGGGACTCAAAAATATTTAATCCATATTTGAGCATTTTTCTTTTGCCAAAAATTTAATTTTTGAATATTTCACCCAAATTTAGGGCGCAAAATCAACAATTTCCCTTTTAGATTAATCGTCAAAATCAATATTAAAGAAACCTTGCAAAATGCTAGAAGCAAATAAATAAAGAAGGCCTGGCCCAATTTCAAAGAGAGAGCAAGAGAAGCCCTAGACAAGGACTAGCTAAGCACTATAAAATCTTACATTTGACGTTCAAAACGCCTCCTTCCTTCAAGTTGCAGCACTCTAGGGTTTATCAAGTTCAGCACAAATGGTATTTTGCGTCTCAACTTTTCTTAAATATTCTTTCTTTGTTTGACAAATTTTATGATGTTTAATGCCTAAAATTACTGTCTTATGAATAAGTATTTCTTTTCATTTCTTTCCTTTATTTATTGTTTTTCTTTGTACCCTGAATTGATTCTTGGATCTAGAGCTGCGCTTTTTGGTGTATTTATTCATTTGGTCGAAATGGGTTTGTTGTTAATGAAGAAATTAGCTGCGAAGTAGATTCGTGAATGCAGAATGAATGTAGCGTTATCTTTTTTATCATTTGGGTTGAATGGGCTGGCTTTGATAAAGGGAATTAGATGCACAAAAACGATAGGAAAAGTTTAATGCTTTGTCAAGCAGTTGTAGAAGTACAAGATCCTGAAACTAAAGTTGGTTTTCTAGATTTGATTTGAATAGTCATGGATTATACTAATTTGGTGTGATTGATTGTTTGGTAGAGATGAATTCCTCAAAAGTTGTGGAATTTATTTGTAATTTTGATATTTTTGCTTTGGTATCAAAAGAAGTACTCGTATCAATTTGATGAATTCAATCCATGGAATTAATGAGTAAACCAACATTTATCAATTTCAAATGAATTCTGTATTTATAATTAATCATACCAAGCATGGGGTAAGCGAACAGGTCTGAAAAGCGCAACTATAACTTGGTTCTTTTTACTTTTTTCAGTAATAATAGTGAAGGAAATTTCAAATGATTGATTGTGTTGGTAATATCATATGGTTACCTGATGGCTTATATGTAGGTGTTTTCCTTTTTCCATTTGTTGGATATTTCCATATGTAGTTTAGTGTTTCTTGTTGGACTGTGAATTTACTTATGCTAAATTGGAATTTCCTATAGTCCTCTGTCTTTGTTTCTGCTCTAGATTTGGCTTGAAAATGTTCCCCTTGTTTAATTATAATATCATGTGTTTCACAGGTGAATGTTCCAAAGACAAAGAAGACATACTGCAAGAGCAAGGAGTGCAGGAAGCACACCTTGCATAAGGTTACCCAGTACAAGAAAGGAAAGGATAGTCTTGCTGCACAAGGGAAAAGGCGCTATGATCGCAAACAGTCTGGGTATGGAGGCCAGACTAAGCCTGTTTTCCACAAGAAGGTATTTTCAATACTAGATATCTAGTATTTGCTACTTAATACTGTTTGTACATCATTGAATTCCATCTTAGCATTAGCCACTTGTAAATGTGATCTCACTATTTACTGTTAGGAGTTTTAGGCCTGATAAAATGTTTTGTAATCTTTTGAACAGGCCAAAACTACCAAGAAAATTGTTTTGAGGTTGCAATGTCAAGGTTGCAAGCACGTGTCTCAGCATCCAATTAAGGTATGCCTTTTGTCTAAACAACTTTTTTGCTTATTGTGACTTATTGTCTTAGAAAATCCATTTCAGCTGTTTTTGAAATGCTTCTTATTGCTTGTTGTTTCTGCAGAGGTGCAAACATTTTGAGATTGGTGGAGACAAGAAGGGGAAGGGAACTTCACTTTTCTAAATTCTATTTTTATGTATGTGTTTTGGATGTACTTAGTGTTGAAGCAAATCTAGAAGTTTTGTTCACTTCATTGTTGATTTCTTTTCTGTCATTTCCAGACATCTACTACTTATTTTTTATGGTTTTTGACAATTAATAGTAATTGGGTTTTAGTTAGAATTGGCAAAGCTCTTTTAACTTATTTTTCAATGATTCAGTAACAATTATGCATATCATGAATGGGATCTATATATATGCATGCGTAACTTAGTTCATAGCTGAAATAGTCTCTTGGAAGTATTAAATTGGAAGCAGAACATAATTTCTTGTCAGATGATTTCTTTACATGTGCTTATAAATAATGTGTTTGGAGGTTAACATTTATGATTTTGCTTCAAAATTCTAAATAAATGCTTGGTGGCTGTGTGAATATCGATGTCATGCTTATTATATCATATAATAAGCATGAAAATGCTATTCAGCGTTGTCTAAAAATTTGGAACTTTGGACATACAGTTTGGTTGGGTTTATTTTAGGTGCAGACTCTTTTTAATTGCTAGAGTTTGTGCTTAATTGGATGCTAATTTATATAGAATTTATTAGTTTTTCTATTTATATATAATTGGATGCTCTGTTACATGAGTATCTCCATTGTTAGGTCAATTAGAGCTAAGTAACCGAACTCTTCTGTAGCTGATTTCTCTCGCACCAAGCTGCCAATCACGCAATCCAAGGCCAAAACAAGTTTTCTTGTGACAAATAGTTGCATTTAGAGTCCAAGTTCGTCAGATTTGGTCAAGAAATGGTTGGAAAACGGAGAGATGAGGAGAGAGGGAAATCACCGATCTGGCAGGAATAAGGAGAAGAGAAAAAAATGATTTTTCCTAAACCTGCTCCTATAGGTTATAAGTGAGTCTGATTCGGTCCGGTTCAATTGAGATTTTGAATAATTTATTTTTGATTTTTGAATGGTTTGAGTCTAGTTTAAGTAGTATATCTTGGGTTAAGGAGGATTTTAATTGAATTTAAGACTTAATTTTCACAAATATTGTATAAAATAATATTTTAAAAATTTTTCAGATTTTAATTTAAATCAAAATCTTTTAAAAATAAAGAATTGAGCTGTTTATTTACATATTTAATTTTTTAATTTATTAGATAAAAAAAAAAGCTCAGCAGGAAAATTTGTAAAAGTTGAAGGGCTGACAAATGTTTTTAGCAACAACCTTCTTATAGCTTTCTGTACAAGCTGCTCTTGGAAATAACAACAACAACAATACCTATTGGTATCAGTGTTTCTGTCTACATGATACAGTTTCTTTTCTTTTATTTTAATTAAATAAAATAATTACCCAAAACAAAGGTAATTAAGTAGAAAATGGGGTTCAATTTCAATTATTGTCTTCAGCAAGGCCAAAACTCAGCTGGTTTAACCTTGGAAATGCTCTCAAGGACTCCCACAGGAGAAACACGTCCCATCACAGTCACCCTCTTTGTCTCCAAATCGATGCTGAAGGAACTCACTCCTAACATGTCATAAACAAAACATTAGCTATCAAAAATGGGAAATGGATTACAAATTTCTTATACATGCATCTTTTGATTTAAGGAATCTAAAATCTATCAATTAAGCACTATGAAATTCAAAAATCATATTGTTTTATATAAAACAAAACCCAGTGGTTTAGTCTGATTGAATCACTAAATCCTACAGATTTTACATGTAAATTCTAAATTTTTTCCTTAATTAAGGATTAGATTTATGAGAATTACCTTTTTAGCTATTAAATTTAAAAATGTCTTTTAGATAAGTCGAAATATAACAATAATAACTACATTTTAAATTGGCCTAACGCATAAATTTAACCTTAAACTTTTAACGATTATCCTTATGACCTCTGAATTTTGTAGGGTTCAATCATGACTTCCCACTAACATATTTCAATAATAAATATACCCTTCACTAAAATGAAATATATTTGCAGGAGTTCAATCGTAACCTTACACTTTCACATAAAATTCAATCATGATCCTATACTTTCATATTTCATTTTAAGGAAGGATATAGTTATTAATGAAATGTCTTAGTGCATGGTGCTCACGATGGATTATCGTAAAATTCAGAGAGCCACAAGGATAATAAGATAGAATTTTAAAATCATTGTTAAGCCACAATGGATTTTAGAGTCATTGTTAAGTTCAAGTAAGGTAGAATTTCTAATAACTTAAGTATTCAAACTTATTTATGTAAATAAATGATTAAATATAAAAGAAATAATTTTATAAAATTACAAATTAAATTATAAAATGTTGATTAAATAAAAAGTGAACTTAACTATTTTATAGAATTATTAATTTTACAATATATAAATAATTAGATAAAAATTTATTCTAGTAAATTACTAATTAACTAGAATTAAATTAAATAAATTTGGTTGGAACAATAGATGTAGTAAATTTATATATGGATAGGGCATTTATGATGAATATGGTACCCATTTCCATTTGTAGTAAACTTTTTATTGCTTAAATTGGGTATATAAGTATGTTATTTACCTATATACCCACATTTAAGTAATATTTTAGTCACATTTTTTTTGTAAATAAATAAATAAATAAAAATTAATCACCTTCCATTTTAGATAGATGTTTCTTCACTTTCCCAGCACACCCTTGGCAATGAAGAGAAACTCTCATGACAACAACCTGCAAGCAAAAATAAATTAATTAATTGTTGTATCTTGACAATGATAATGGGAAAATAATAAAAATTAATATTGGAAAATTTAACATATGACAAAAAAAAGTATATATACATATATAAACTTCTTGTACCATATTGAAAAAAAATTGAAAAGATTCTTGTTTAATTTTGTGGCCAAAAATGCTAGATTTGGCACAATATGGTTGATGATGTAAGGTAGTTGGAATGTCTGCTAATATATATATATATATTTATTTATTTAATATATATATTTTAATTTTATTTTATTTATTTATTTATTTATGGTTAAGTTTGAACATTTATTTATTTATTTATTTATTTATGGTTAAGTTTGAACAACATTATCCAAAATTGGACAGAAAATTTATGCCCTTTCCTTGTGTTGTCATGTGCTAATGCTTATCAAATATTCCTTTCACATGCCACAAAACTGTATTAATCTTTTTAGTTTGCACCAAATTAACACTCTGTTTCGATGGAGGTATTTTTTTTAGGAATAAAAATAGCCGAGGAAAATAACTGTAGGAAATAATTTTATCTTATTTGGAAAAGAAGGAAAAATAATGAAGGAAAGAAAAATTAATTTATTTTCCTCATCTCACACAAATAGAATCTCTCTATTCGGGAGAGAAAATAATGGTAGAATGTTGAAGTTTCTCGAACTCAAATACTCAAACTACTTTTAACTAAATATTGAAGTTATATGATCATCACAGTCCTTTAAAAGGATAAGTGAGGTTAAAATGGTAATATATCAGTATTAATAATTTTTTCTTTTAAAATTTTACCTTTCCTTCATTATTTTCCTTTATTATCCAAACACAAGGGTGAAAAATAACAATGGAAAGAAAATTAGCAATTCATCATTATTTTCCTTTGTTATTCTAATTCATCTTCTTTCAAACGGAGCGTAAGTAATAATATGCTATTGCTATTGACCTCATAGTCCAAAAATAAAAAATAAAAAATTTACCTTTATAAAATTTTATAGTCAAAATTTACCACGAGAAATGAATTAACTTTTATATAAAAAAATAATTGGCCAAATAAATATATAAATCAATACTTAAACTTTATAAGGAAAATTTAGTGATACTTTAAATGTTTGTATTGACTTATCAGATGTTTAGTCTGCAACATTACATTTACCAAACACTCAAACTCATGCTTATTTAAACTTATAAAATTATATTTATTAGATAATTAAAAATGTGAAATCACTGTTTAATAATTTATGTTAAAATACACATAAATGATCATATTTGTTGAACATATATCCAATGATTGAAATATGTAAAATTATGTTTGATAAGTATAATTTTATAAATAAAGTGTCTCAGAGATACTATTTTAATAGTTGAATAAAAAGTTGAAAATATTAATAATTATTTTCGTAAAATATTAGGTGTGAATTTATATATAAAAGCCAAAATCATACTGGTTAAATAAAGTAAGAAAAAAAAAGTATTCATTAAATAAAGTAAGAAAAAAAAAGTATTCATATTAAAATTATAATTTAAAAAATATATTCAAATGAGGTAATTTTTTGAATATATAAGTTACTAAAATACATATATATACACATATCTTTATTGTATATCAATTTAAGATTAAGAAATTTGCCAACCAACCAATGCAACAGTTAAAACGAGTGGTCGTTTGATAACAGGGAAAAAATGTAAAAGAAAAAAAAAGGATTTGAATGGATCAAACCTGGAAAACTTGTTGCTGATCAGATGAAGGCAAAACTGAAGGTGGTTTCTGCATTGGTAATCTAGTTTTATAATATTCCTTTGTACTCTTCTTCTTGTTGCTAATATTATCATTATCATTATACTTATTATCGTTTTCTTGTTTCTTGATGGATGAAACAAGAACAGATCTACTAGTTGCTGGTGGAAGTAACTTCAATGAAGAAGAAGAAGAAGGCTCTGCAAGTCTTGAGTACTTTACACTAGTAGTTCTTGGCACTATCATAGAGCGTGGATCACCTGCTGTGCAAATAGCAGTTGCTGCCCTAGACTGGCACATAAATCCCTTCATCTTCTTGCTTGATTTCTTGGTGGTCATGGTTGAGCCTGAGATAGAGAGAGAAGGGTGTTCTTGAAGGTAAATTGATAGGTGGATGCCTTGTCTATCTGAGAGGAGAAAAGGTAAGGTTAATAGAGAAATTTGGATCTTTTAGGTAGGAGAGAGTGTATAAAAAGAGTTGAATCTTAAGATGAGCTTTGACTTAGGTATTAGAGCTTTTTTTTTTTTTTTTTTTTTTTTTTTTTTTTTTAGGTATTGAGCTTTTTTTTTTTTTTTTTTTTTTTTTTTTTTTTTTTTTAGCAAAATGCCCTTTTTTTTTTTTTTTTTTTTTTTTTTTTTTTTTTTTTAGCAAAATGCCCTTTCTGAAAATTGAATTTGTGTTCTAATTCTTACGGGAGATTAAAGTGAATTACCATTTCAACCAATATGTTGTTGGTAGAATCATTTTTATTACTATCCAGTTGCAAGTTGAAAGTTGCATGCTATATTTATGACTGAGCTAACAAGGAATTGGGTGGCAGAGGCAGTTTCTGTTTGTCTCTGTAGTGTATACATCTTTTGAATGCTTTCAACTTCCTGTCTTTGTCTTTGGTTAATGTTCAGAAACCGACTGCTCTGTATTAAAGTGATTTCATAGATTACTCAACTGGCCTTTTGGCACAAGTAGAAGAAATACTTAGGTAAAAAGAAATAAATAAATAAAATAATACTCCACCCGTACCATTTTGTTTGTATATTTTGACAAAACACGTATATTAAAATTTTAGTTAACAAAAATTATTTTATTATTTTTCACCCTTAACTCATTAAGATATTAATAAAAATCATTCGTTTAATGAACAATCATAAAATTTATTATGGAAAAGTAATTGTTTAGATAAATAAATTTAGATACCTTACAAACATTTTGAGACATCGAAAAAAAGAAATAACAAGCAAATAAAATGGGACGGAGGGAGTAATATGTTTGAAAAATATTGTTTTATGATTGACTTGGTGTATGCACGGGTGGCCAAATTTTGGTTTTTGAAATTAAAACTGTCGGTTGGGAACTAGAATCGGCCAGAACTGGGAGATTGCGGTTTGGTTCCGGTTCTTAATTTTTTAGAATCGTGATTCGTCGATTCTGAGAACCAGCTAGAATCAAAGGTTTGACAACCGTTAGAACTGGTGATTCCAATCGATTTCACAATTTTGTTATTATTTTTTATCAAAATCTCTAGATGAACCTTCTTAACAATAGTAAATGGCTATATAATGTTTAATTATATTAAGGGTATCTCTGCAAGTCAGATTTTTTATTTTTAGAATTATGCAAACCGCTTAGAAAATTAGTTGGAGAACCGTCGATTTTGGAACCATTCAGAAACCGTAACCGGGTGGTTCCTGAACCGTGGCTACCCCTAGGTGTTTGGTATTATTCATCTGTGAGGGCGTATACAAGAAATTTCTCATGGAGAAAGACTTACTTACACTTGATGTAAGGGTCTAAGAAAGACTTACCTATACTCGGTGTAAGGGTCTATCTATGCACCAAATTAATTAAAATTAGTATTTTGATTCAAATGAAAATATTTATAATCTGAAAAAAAATGACAAAGCAGTAACATTTTTTTAAAAATTTCTTTGATTGGCTTGGTGTATGGGACTATCCATAAACCAAACGTAGACAACTTAACCATACCGTGTATGAGTTTATATACCAAACCAATTATAAATAGCGTTTTTATCCAAACGAGAGTATTTGTGATCATACACAGTAAACAAAATGACAAATCAGTAATATTTTGATTAAATGAAGTAGTTATCAGTCTAATTTAAATTAGAGAAGACTTGGATTACAATTAGCATTAAAATTTTGATTCCCAATTAAAATCTAGAACAATTGTTTCAAATTCTAACATTTTTCCTAAAGATTATTGCTATCTCTTCTCCTAAATTTTTGTCTTATAAAAGATTTATTACTTTGTAAAACTACAAATATAATAAGTATTTTAGAACATAATATTTTTTTAAATCCGACAAATAAAGGTAGAAAAAATGTTTAATAAGTAGTTTGGAGTCAATTTCAATCTAAAATTATTAAATAAAACAAAATGGAAAAAAGACAAAAAAAAGTTTGCGGACTTTTGGTTTTGAACGAGATGCACAAATCTATATTATGTCCAAACCAGAAAAGAAAGAAAGAAAAATGAACTCGAAACTCCACTTAAAGAACGGAGATGTCACTTAGTTAACATTTAAAAAACAAAATAGGATATTATTGTCTTTTTATATATTATGATGCATGATGTATATATTTTTCTCTTTCAAAAAAAAAAAAAAAAATATATTTTTTTCTCTTTCAAAAAAAAAAAAAAAAGATGGTTAATAATATTTTTATTTTTAAAGTAAACAACAGTTATTTTTTCCAAATTCTAATGTATTATACAAATAAAAATATTTTAAAAAAAAAAAAAAAAGATGTATATATTTTTTATTTTTAAAGTAAACACATTATTTTTCATTCTAATGTATTATACAAATAAAAATATTAATCAAATTTTAAAAATAATATTTAATAAAAATTAATGGTTTTAAATAACTATAAATAAAATAGTCATGAAAAATATTAATTTGAAAATTTTATAAATAGTCATTTTTCTGAGGTTAAAAGGAATCTAAATAAAATTATACTCAAATCAACTAGCACATGAAATAAGAACAAACATTAAAATGCATTTGATTGGATCGACAACTATTTAAATTTCTATTAGCTATGGGTTGTTAATTTAAAAAATCAACCGAACCAAATGCCTTCTAAAGATTCGTTTGATTTAACTGTTCAAAATAGCTGATAGTTGGTGGTTGGTAATAGTTAGCGGATTAATGTTGTTATTTGGTAAAATTTTGGTACAAATTGTTGTAAAAATGTAAAATCACCATTAAGGATATATACTTATTTTTTATATATAATGGTCAACAATGCAATTTTTTTTAATTTTTACATTAAATATATGTTTTTATCTTAATGTGTAATATAAATAAAAAAATACTTATTAAAATTTTTTGATATATTATTTAATAGAAATTTTTTATTTTTTATTGACTATTATAAAATTAATGAATAAAAATAGAATTTTATTCAACCGTTTAACTGATGAAAATTAAATCACGTATTTTAACAATAAAAATAGAACGAAAACAATTGGATTTTTTTTGATTGGAGAGATGGTGAAAAAGAATAAAGAAAATTCAGTTTAAGTGGCAGAAGGAGAGGAGAGCAATAAATGAGTTTACGGAGGTAAGAGTATGATCACAGTGCTTCTAACAGCTTTTTTCTCAGAGCTTCAGACTTTATTCTCTTCTCAATTCTTTTTCATTTTCATTTTTTTGTTTTATTGTTTTTATTATCAGAGTCTTCTTTTTCTCTCACTATCACATGCACACACCACTAAGGTTTTAAATTTATGAAATTGACATGTCCTATTGCTCGGCCCCAGATCAAAAATTGTTACTCCCTCTATTTTCTTTTTTCTTTTTTACATCTCATTTTAAGGGTTTTGCATACGAATTAAAAATAATAATAAATATATAAAATTTTAATAAAAATAAAGATTAAAAAGATTATATTTCCTTTTTTAAAAAATAGTAATTCTCGTGGTTTAAATAAATTTAAAAAACAGAGTTTGAAGTTAACATGGACTATTAATGTTACAATAATAGAAAAGTAAATCTAGAAAGAAAATATTTAATGAATCATTTGAATTATAAATAAACGATACAATAATAGATTTAAATTCAAATTTCTTTTGTCCAATAAAAAAAAACTATTATATGAATTCTTAGTATTGATTGTGTTTTTTGAGTTTAAATTTTTAACTCTTTGAGTTAATAAAATAAAGCATAAAAATTAAAAATTAAAAATTAAAAATTATAATGATTAATAGTTTTTGGGGGTTTAAGTAATTGTCATATATTCAAAGAGATTATTTTTAAAAGTCAAAATTTTTATTGAAATTTCTATTATATATTGAAGATCATGGCATGCAATACAAGTACTGGTGCTTCACCTGCCAACATATGTTATTTGGATTTCTCTTACCTTACATAGCAATTGTAATGAGGTGAAAAAAAAAAAGAATAATACAATTTGAGTTGTTAATATATGTTATTGCCATTCTCTAATCTAATATGGCAATTATAATTACTTGAAACCAAAAAAAAAAAAAAAAAGTTAATGATTGAGTGAATATAAAAAGAAGTAAAAAAGAAATCATGATTACTCTTATATTCTAAACTTTTCTTTTAGGGCAAAATGCATAAATTTAATCATATATTTTGTAAAATAAAAAAATTGTCTCCCTCGAATTTTATTATAAAATTGCACTCATTTAACTACAACTTGCAAAATTTGAATTAAACACTTAATGAATAATTAAAAAACATAAAAAAATTATTAATCTAATAATCATGTTAATCACACGTTAAATCAGTATTTTACATGTAAAAACTAAAAATATTAAAAAAAATATATGACATAATGTATAAATTTGCCTTTAAACTATTTACAGAGTTTCTATAATGACCTTGTACTAATAAATCCTTCAATAACTATGCTCCTTAGAAAAATAGAAAAAAAGATGTGCGTTACACATGTGTTGATGTGCATTTAATAATATTATGTGTGTTTAATTTTAATCCACCTAGATTAATAATGCTGACTGTACCATTTTTTTTAAAAAAATTTTTCCTCTTATTTTCGCTTCTTGAAGATCTCTTCTATTCCTTTCCTTCTTTCTGCTACTGCAACAGTCCTTTGCTTGACTTCTCTAGAAGGGTAAAAACAACATGGATCAAAGTGATCTTTTGCAACATAAATTCTCAGCAAAATAATTGATCCCAAATTTCTCAAAAAGTTATTTATTTTTTAAAAAAATATAAAAAATTAAGGCAGAAAAAGAAGCATAAACTTAAAGAAAAGAAAATAGGAAACAAAATTGAATAAACCATTTTTTTTTTAATACTTGGGAAGCCCAATGGGCCGAAATAACATTGTGAGCTATACAGCAGGGGGTAGCCCTCTCCTTTCAATGACATTCACCAAATTGGTGATAACTTTATGGTGAAGAGGACTCAGAACTCGAACTTCTCACTTCCCACATCTTCAACAAAACGTAGGTTTATGGTGAAGAGGACTCAGAACTCGAACTTCTCACTTCCCACATCTTCAACAAA